AAATGTGGAAACTTTTAGACAAGATGCTTTAAACTTCGACTGATGACAGTATAAATAGTTTTTTGATTGTTTATTTATAAGATTACTTTTTATTCTTGAGAGGTACAATATGGGCCCAAGAGTAGCAATAGGAAATCATTTTCTTCATCTGAGCTACACTAGGTAGAGGACCCTCGTGAGTAGGAACTACTATAGCAGAACACCTGGGATCTCTTATAACTGTGTTTCTATGCCTCAGAAGATCAAATAAATACTGTTTACAGAAACAAAGAAATCTTTTCAGCAATGCTTACAAAACCAATGCAGTGGTGTTCATATCCCCTGCTACACAGAAAAGGTCTATTTAGACATGACTGTAAAATGCTTATCACTGGAAATAAGGGAAATGAGTATTTACCATTCCTGGCCAGTATGTCATCATAAACTGGACAGACACCGTAGAACAGTGGAGGATCTCTGGATGGTGTCTGAGCACTGGTTTGTGAATCAACACTTCCTGCTCCACAGGCTGCAGCTGAACAGTTCATGTGTGTCACTGCATCTTCTTCTGGAGGGTTCAGACCCACACAGTACCCAAAGTCTGGCTCCTCAGCAGCACTTCCATGGCCGTTGTGATTTGCTGCCAAATTTCCAGCAGCCTCCTCTGGCAGAGCAGATCCTGGTTCCTCCAGTGCTCCTTGCTGCTCCAACAACGCCTGAGCCAATTTCTTTTCAAAAATAAACCTGGTAGTTGCAGTAATGGGGCCGCATTTCAGTCCTGCTCTCACAATCTCTTCCCTAAGCTCATCCGGGCCAAGCTTCTTCAGTCGGGATAGTATTGTATCCATTGTTAGTTCTCCTGTAGGGAAGGCAAAAAAGACAGCAGAGAAACTGTTAAAAAAACAGCACAACTTTTTTTCTGCTATTTAAAACCTGTATTAAAGCCAAGGAAAAAAGGGTCTCCTAACTATTTCTCTGATTTTTATGAGATTCTCACAGTGCAGAGAAGACAATTCAAAGCATTTAAAACATTTTTAAGCTGTCAGATCTATACCAAGTTTACTTCCTCCTCTCTCAACTACTTAACAGTACAGCCTACAATTTATTCTCACTTGTCCTTTTCAAATTTCTTCTGGAGTGAAAATTCAATCCAGAATAATATTTGATTCCTGCCAAGAAAGGCACAATCTACGTGTGCAATGCAATACAAGGACATGGCAACCAGTCAACCCCAGGAAGAGGGGCAGTACCTACTGCTAGAAGCACAGCACTATTTCCATTATTTCCTTAAGAATTTCTACCTGACAAAAGCTTAAGGCATAAGTGTGATGCAGCAACCGGGGAGGTTTTCACTGGCCATGATGCAAGGCTGGACTTATGTGCACAACATGTTGTTTCCCAGGCCCTGTTTGGACAGCAAACAGACAGAAGACAAAAACAACTGATCTTTTCAGATCTCCCTCTCCAAGAACAAGCAGAAGGTGGAAGAATTTCTCCCTTTCCAAAGGAAAATCCTTCTCTCTGCTATGACAATACACTTCCCTCCATGTAATCCACACTGACAGCTTCTGCACCGGTCAATGAGAAGATTCGAAGACCAACATGATGCCAATACAAATTTCTTGCTGTGAAAACCACAACTGAAGGAAATACTATGAAAATATACTTAATGCCAAACTTAAGTAGACTTTCAATTATTACAACCTGACAGTCATGCGAGTTTGACGGTTGCTTCCCTTGAGGGCTCTTTCCTTAGAGAGTTGTTTGTTTTTTATGAATGTCTGATTTTGAATGTCAGTGGTTAGAGAACATACCTCTGTTCCTGAATATTTCAAATATTAACTGGAACCTTGCTGAAACGATGAGAAATGAGAGTATTTCCGCTTAACAAACCCACCACACTGCACCAAAGCCACAGCTGGTGCTGCTGAGCCACCTCCCCAAAGGATTCCAGTTCCCTGAGGACTCCTGAGCCTCCAAGCAACCTCACTGTTTCGATTATCTGACTCGGCCACAAGACTGCAAAGACAGATTTGAAAGATCTTCTCACTTGTTTCCAATTCTTAATTGTCTATTTTTTTAAATAAATGTGGTGCCATTGTGTTTTAATCAAAGAATAAAATGCAGGCTTCAGTCAAAATAATATAAAAACTTGCTGTTCCAAGGATTTTCTTTTGGAGACTGCATAACTGAAAAAAACACAGTAAAGATGAAAACTCAGATGTGAGGAAGGTTATTGCAAAATCAACTCAATGAAAACACTTTAAAGAGTCAACATAATGCCTTAAAGAATTAACTCAGAAAGGTTCCTATTTTTAGGTTTCAGAACTAGCACAATCATTCTGCAGAAGAGCAGACCTGTACATATATATAATTCATGTATGGAAAACAGGCAGGAACACACAAAAATCCTTCCTCTTGCCTTGTGGTTAAACAACCAAAAGTGTTGGGAAGGAATGAATTCTCTGATTTCTTATGTTTTGATAGAACTTGGCACCTAAAATTTAATGCTCGAAATTTGCTTTCTCATTATGTAAAAGAAAGTATTTTGTGTGCCCATTACAACTCTGGCACAACTAAACCAAAGCAAAATGGCAAAGCAGACCAACAGTGAATAAACCAATCTTTGGTTTAAGATCTTCTGTCAGGATGAAGCTTGCTGTGGAAACAGGGAAAACGCTGTTGGAACAACAACACAGAACTCCCATGAAATCTGTATTTGACAGGATGATTTCAGCTACCCTGGGTAAGCATTCATTGATTTTTACCTGCATCACCTATTTTGATCTGCCCAAAACAGGTGTGACTTGCAAACCTGAGAAACAGCAACTGCCTCTTTTAAGATAATCCTTCAATCGTTTCACATGCAGGTGCAAAAGGGGATTATCTGAACCTTAAAATGCATTTTATGTAACTACAAACGATCCAGAGTACAGCCAGTGCTGACGCAGCTCCCTCCTGCAGTTCAGCACACAAGCCCATGCAAGTTACCTCCACTAATAGGAATAACTGCTTTAACAACCGCATGTTTGAGGGTTCTTCCAAAGCAACCAAAACCTGAAAGAATGGGCAAGAACTGTATTTTCCCTTGTCTCATTGCATCAGCATGAAACGACCAGAATCTGTTTCCAAAAAAAATTAAGACTAGTCCCACGGCAGAATGAACGACTGACTTTTAAGGATCACAGTATTATTGTACTCCACTACTCATTAAATCCTTCAATAAATTAGTAACGTAAGAAAACAGGGAGTTTTTTGTTTGTTTGCCTGTAGAGGCAGGAATTGAGAGTCACATCCTGTCTTTGGCTGTACCGGGATCTGCACATGGCAGCGCAACCGCGGCTATGCCACGGGGTGGGGGTTTTGTCTGTACTGCCTGTGGCCAAATGAGCCAGCAGCAGTTCCGAACTACGTGGCTGAAAGAGAACCGAAAACAAACTCGGAATAAGCCACGGGAAAACAAGAAGGGGGGGGGGATATAAGAACAATTTCTCACGAAAGAAAACCGCGGGTCTGTGTGCAGCCCCGGGGAGGGCGGGCGGGGGAGCGGGTGGGGCAGCGCCGGGGACCGGCCGGGACAAAGCGGGAGCGGGGCGGCGGGGCCGGGCCCGGCGGGGCCTGCGGGCGGTCCCCGAGCTCCGCCCGGGGCTGCAGCGCCGGGAGGCGGGAAGGGCCCCGGGAAGGGCCGCGGGAAGAGCGGCGGGAAGGGAAGGGCCGGGGAAAAGAAAGGGCCGGGGAAAGGAAAGGGCCGCGCGGCCTCGGCGGGCGGTGCCCGGTGCCGGCCCTCCCGCGGGCCGAGGGGCCGCGCCACCCCCGACCTGCCCGAGTGTCTCACCTGGGCGGGTCCCGCTGCAGCGCCGGCTCCCCGCGGCGGCGGTGGGAGCGGGGGAGGCGGCGGGAGCCGGGCAGGGGGCGATGGCCGCGGCTCGGCGGTCGCCCGGCCTCCTGTCCCGCAGCCGCAGCAGCCAGCCCACGGCGCCGATGACGGCGCAGGCGGCCAGGAGCTCCCAGCACGGCCATCGGCCCCAGCCGGCTCCCCACAGCGAGCCCCAGCCGCCGGCGGCCCCGGCCCAGCGCTCCATGCCCGGCCCGCGGCCCCGGGCACGGACGGTACCGACGGTACCTCGGCGGCCTCGCGGCTTCCGCCTCCCCCGCCCCGCGCCCGCCCCCCCCCGCGGGCACCGCGGCGGCTCCGCCCGGCGCTGACGGGGCCCGGCCGCCTCCTCGCGCCTCACCGGGACAGCGGGCAGGGCCCTGGAGAGCCGAGGCGGGCGCGGCGCTGCCGCTCCGCGGGACACGCGGACGAGCTCCGAGCGGGGCCGGGCTGCCCTCGGCTGCGCTGCGGGCGGCGCTGAGGGCGCCCAGAGCTCCCGGGCCTGGCGGGCACGGCCCGAACTGCAGCCGCTCGTCCCTCGGCCAGCGCGCGGCTCGGCACAGGCACTTGGAGAGGCCTCCTTAGAAAGGAGGGCTCAGCCCAAGCAGTAAGCTCGAAATGCTGCCGTAGTCCCGGATAAGCCGGCAGAGAGGGGAAGCCATGAAGAAGGAAGCCTCTAATGCAGGAGAAGGGAAGCAGTCCCTTCTCGGATAAGAACCGGCCATCCCCTCAGGCACAACATTCCTGCCTCTCGTACCTGCACCGCGAGCAGCGCGGTCACGTGCTGGGCTCAGTGCCTGTCCTTAAAGAAGAAAATAACATCCCTTTAACTCACACAAATAGTGCAGGCAAGGTAGAATAATTTCTCTCCTCATCACTGCAATTAGCTAAACTAGAATCAAGGTGACATTTCTGCATTGTTCCATTTTGTACACTCCAGAAGTTGGCAAATTCAGGCCAGGGAATTTCGTTTTTCCCTGATGCGTTCAGCTGACTGGGAAAAAAAAAATAAATGCAATACAAATGCAACCACAAGGAAGTTTAGATGTGTGAAAAAATAGCGAAAACAGTGAAAAATTAATAAACATAAAATTTACTGCCCAAAACCAAATACGAAGATGGTAACTTAAAGGAGAAACAACATGGAGCCCTTTACCAAAAATAGTTTATTGCACAAAACTTTTAAAGGAATTCCCTATGCACATAATTTTTATAATCAACATGCTTTGTATGATCATAAACATTAAATGTACATAGTGTAACTCCTCCAGCCCCTGGGTTATCCATTCAAGAACATGAAATGATTAATTTCTATCTTTTACAAATACAGGCTAAGCAGACATTACTGAATGTCATATATGAAACAGAACCATTTCATTTACAATATCCAGAACATCCTTCCCTTCCTTAGAAATCTGTGCATCTGCATTGGAAATGAGGCTGCCCAAGACTCAAGTGTTACACATAAGTAAGAGACAGAGAGATGCTGATGAGCATTAGTAATTCCTTTGGACTGTAATTCCTTTCACATGAAAATATTTAAAGGCTCTGGTCACAATAAGTCACATGCAACTATTCCCACTTTCCCCACAAGGTTAATAAACGTACATCACAATCTTCTGCATCACCAGGAGTGAATCTGTCATCTTTAAGTTAAACTTACTTTGATAATAGTCCGTCCCCAGCACACCTTTGATGTTGTCACAGCTAGCACTGAAGCACCCATGCCACTGCAGTTCTCTCCTCTAAGGAGAAATACATAATCCATGAAATTATGAACACCAGAACTTTCATCCCTGATATTACTTTACACATGTGAAAGTCTCACAGATTTCAGCTAAGATACTGCCTGAATAAACAGTATGGGATCATTATATGAGTGGATAAGGGGCTCAGCTGATCCCAAATACAGTGCACAAATATTTCCAAGAAATCTGGAAGACAACAGAATGGAGCATTATGCAATGTTCAGCAACGCCAGAGACTCAGTAACATTTTTCACCACTGTAGGGTTTGCTGGTCTTTGTTGTGATTTTTTTTTTGAATGCACAGTTACTCAAGAGTCCTCAAAAACTCAACAGCATCTGAAAAAGTAACACTGCAGCATTTACCAGCTTTCAGCACTTGGGAACATTCTCACATTGCAGTGACATTTTTCCTTCATCAGTAAGACCTAGTTTAGTAGGTAGCAACTACTGAAGAGACAGACACAGGAAATACATTCTATTGCAGTGCTTGAAAAGGGAAAATAAAAAATATTTAAGATATTATTCTTCAGATTCTCCTCTGATGTATTTGGCAGTGCTGTGACAGGCAGAGGGGAGGCAGTTTTCCTTTCTACAACTAGTTTGTTTTATTGCCTAGACAGGAGAGACCTGAAGCTTTGCAGACCAAGCATGCTCAGGGTGAGGCTTTTTAATAAAACAGCAACTACTGCTCTGGATAATTAGGAAACTTAACTGATGAGCTTCAAAGAAAAGGCCTTGCTATTATCACATGCTGCTGCTCCCTCCAGAAGACTTCCTAATGACTTAGTACCTCACCAGACTTAGACCCTCAAGTCTCACTGTCTGTCCTTCATTAAAGTAAATGACATGGTGCTTTTGTTTAGAGAAAAAAACACAGGCTGAATATAACACAAAAATACCCAGTGTCCATCCAGGTACTTCCAGAAGCAGGTGGGTCACTGTGGGAATCTAATCTGTGCACAACAGCTCCCTCATCTTGACAAGGGAAACACATCTAAGGGAACTGGACTGTACAAGCTCAGATGGCTTCAGGAGCTAGTGAGAAATGCAGCAGAGTGCAGAACTGATACAAAAAGGAGAGCAGACATTCAGAACAACTATGCAAGTTTATAACAATTCTGGCTTCTTTGATACCACATAAAACCTTTATCCATACAACTGCTGCCAAACTTAACAGATTAAAACATAACAGATTCTTAACTGTAGGCAATGTATTTAATAAAGTGAACAGCAACATTAACGCTGCACAAGTATTATTTTAAATCCTGGACATTTGGTAGTTTTTTGTCCTGAATATATTATTCATTAAATAGTTTTAATTTTTTCTTTAACAATACTGAGGTGTTTTTTTCTTCTTTGAGTTTAATATACAAGTAACTTCAAGAACATGACAACAGTGAGATAATCAGTACCATTTACTCTACAAAGTAGACTGCATCAGTATGCAGACACTACCATGTCTAAGCTAGTCAGTAAAGCTTTTGAATTCTCTTTGAATTGTTTGGTAGATCTGTAGGATGGGCACCAAATGCCACACAAAAGCAGTTCTTCCTTCAGTTCCAAACCCCTGACTGTCAGCACCACTTGACTTTGATCCCAATAAAATATAAGTCAAAATCCAGTAGCTGAAGGGCATGAAATCGTTCAGTATAAACACTTTAAGTGCAAAATGTTCAACTGGACTAGAGCTTAAACTGGCAATTATGAGAAATCGGACTTTAGAGAAATATAAGTGGGTTTGGGTTTTTCTTTGTTTGCTTATTTTTTGTCTTACTGCTAAACAAACTGCAATATCCTTCCCATTCCTCCACAATAACCAAACCCATCCAAAAGCAGAAAGAGTCTCTTTGGAAAAATACATGAACTACAGGGTTTTTTTCCCCAGCCACTGAATCCACTTGTACTTACTAGATTATTTTTTTCTTTTGCCAACACCAAACTATAGTGGATATAACGAACCTGTTTTCTTTATGTTTTAAAGACAAAAACATTCTAGTACAGGAGTGGCTACTAAATCTTCCAAATAATGTCCCATGTATTTTGATTTGTGCTTTAGAACTCAGCACACTTGGCGAGGCAGGACCCCCCCACTGGATTTTTGAATGAGGAGAACGTGGGCTTATCACTCACTACAAACCACTTGGAGAACGGGACCAAAGGGGAAGGAATCTGAAATGAGCTGCTTTAAAAATCACCTGGCCAAGGTGCTCTGCAGAGGGGCTGCCACAGTACCAACACTTCCATTCATGGTGGACACCTTGTAATAGAGGGTGCAAAAAGTAGGGCAAGTGTGTGTGGGGGAAGATAAAGCTATTAAAAATAATAATTTTATAGGCATTATAATTATGTCTTTTAAAGTAAAAATAATTACATTTCTGAAAGCTCTGGCTTTAAGAGCCAATTTCCATAAGACATTCGTACAGTATGTTGAAAAAGAGCAAACTTAAATGTAACATTAAAACAATGACAGTAACAAAAACCCTCACGTCAGCCTTAACTTACAGTATATAAGCATAATAAACCAGATATTCAAAGTCAGAAAATTATGATCTTTTTCTTATATATATATATATACTTTTTTTTTTACACGCATACTTTTTAAGGGTGTCTGTCTACTTCAAAACTTGAACTAAAAAGGTGCAAAATGTTTGTGCAGTGAAGCAAAGCTCACTACTGGCCTGCAACTGTAAGGGAAAAACCAGTACTTCAGAAAACATCCCAGGCAAATCTGCCACAGACACCAACTGCTCTGCATGGCTCGTCTTTACAGTCTTGTTTCTTTTGCTATAGGTCAGAGGTCATCTTCATAACTGGAAATAGCTTACAATGAGGGTTTTTTTCTCTTTAAATACAGATATCTATAATCTGAACTTTGAGATTACAGGAGGGAAGAGAGGATGCTCAGCATATCCAGTTCTCAACCACTGCTAACAGCTGGACATGAGAACTTGTTGGAATTTGACTACAACCAAAGATGGGAGAAAACAACACATCCCTCCCCCCCAAATAAAAAAAGAAAAAACCAAACACAAAAACCTAGATGTTACAAAATTAACAGTAGTTCCTCAATAAAATCACCTAGATTGAACAAATACAGACCTGGAACCAGATGCTCCTCTTGACCTCATTTTAAACCTTCATGTGAATCTCTTACTAAACCCTCAACTGAGCTAGATTCAGCACTTGGCAGTCCCCAGCATGACAGAATTATTATGGCAAGGTTTCAAACAAACCCTTGGAATAGCACGTTCTGCATTTACTATTACCTCAGTTTCTCAAATCTGTGCCTTTTGCTTCTACAGGCAAAAGCACAACTCTGAACGCCATTTAAAAAAATGAAATAAATAATTTTTATAAAGATTTGTTTATATACTTAAAGCAGTAGGAAGAAGGACAGCTGATGAGGAGGTTATAGTGTCAAACCTTCCTTGTCATTAACACTACAATTCTCTTTCTTTTCATCTACAGTAGGAATCTCCTGCTGGTCTGATGCAGGTGCAGGACTGGTAGAACCAAGGTCCATTAACTTCCCCTCAAGCTGAGTCCACGAAGACATGGATTCATGTACTGTGATGGTGTGTTCCTCCATCTGACGCTGAAGGCTGTCCATTTCTTGCCTTTAAAAGTATTGAGAACAAAAAAGCAAAAATTAACAAGCAGAAAACTAAAAGCTACATGCACGATCAAAAGTTTACCTCTCTGATTCCTGATATCTACTCCAAGACTACCTGAGATACAGCTGATAACAAGAGAAAGAAATCCACAGGAAGCTTAGGAATTATCTCCTTTAATTTAGAGTAAAACAAATACACTGTGCTTAATTCCAAAGTAAGGGCCAGCAATGCAGCAGCTCCTTTACTGCACGTACTCATTGCCAGGGATGGTGAGCACTGTTTCCTCAGGAAAGGCACTTAGTGACTGTAACCTGAACCACAGTGCTCCTGCAGGTATGGAACAACACCACCATGGGAGGCAGAGGGGAGGAAAGCAGCATGGAAAATGCTCTCAGGCACGTGGTGTGATTCTTGGGGTTGCTCTGTGCAGGGCCAGGAGCTGGACTCGATGCTTGTGGGTCCCTCACTCCCTCAGACATCAACTGAGGTGGTAAGAGTGGCTCAGTTCTCCTAATAACCTCAACTCCCCATCTCCCTGAAGTTATAGCTTTCCTGTACCTTGCCTCACATATTTTTGCAGACAGTAGAGACTTATTACCACACCCACTGCCTGGGTTCCCACTGCAAGCAGCCTTTCTGATGTTGGCAAGAGAGAAACACCAGCTTTTCCACCAGCAAAAACTAGAAATAGTTGTTTCTGGTTTGTTCTGCTGTGTACAATTTAGGATGGACTTTTTGTCTAGTTTATTGTAAAGTCTTTTTTTGCCATGGTAATGGCCATATAAGCAAGCACTTACAATGACAGAACATCCTACTGTCCTAAATATAGTCCTAATAAAATAATTCATTTTCCAAATCCTTTTTTCCCTTAGGCTGGCAGCTGGTTTCCTGGAAGCATTTTTAAGGTTATGGTTGAAAATAACACAAATAAATAACTAACTAAGGTCCTACTTTAATTGCTGGAGACAGCTGTTCAGGTTTTTCAAAGGCTCCTTGCTCACAGCTGTCGATGGTTTCAGCAGTTCTTCCAGCAAGGCAGCAGGCACTGGACAATCAGGAATCTTGACTGGAGTCACAGGATTGGAAGAGTTATTCTCTCCTTTGAGTTCCTTCCTCTGGTTAAAGGAAAAAAGTCAAAAATGCAATTAAGTTATTTCATCAATGTAATTTTTACTACCTAGAAAGAGTCTCACATCACACTACTGGTACATATCTGCATTACAGAGCAGGAACCACAGGCACATTCATGGTAGGTAATTTAGGAGCATTAACAGAGTATTTTCCTGTGTGTTCTTCCTATTTAAATACCTTCTTCATCTTGCCATGCTTCAGGTCCTGCTTCAGTTGCTGGTTCTGCTGCAGCAGTGACTTCATGCTGTTCTTCAGTTCAGTCACTTTGGCCTGCATCATAAACTTATCCTTCTGAGTCACTGACAGGTCTTCCCTCACCATCTCCAACTCAGTCTTGATATTCTAAGTGGGAGGAAAATCAATGTGAGATAGAGAAACAGTATAAAAATTCCAGGTTTTATAATTATTTTTTTTTCCAGTTTTCAGGGGAAAACCATAATTCCATCAGAATCTCCACTGGCTGCACATTAAGTACCTGCAAGACAACTTGCATCCCTTCTAACTCCTTGTGGCTGCGCTGTTCAGTCATGTCCAACTGCTGCTTAAGTGTTTCAATTTCTCTTTCTTTCTGTTCTACTTCCCACTTGAGATCTTCCACCTACCAGGGCAGATAAAAAAGAAAGTATCTTTAGAATTATCTACAGGTGCAATCAACCAGAAAATCTAAAATATATTTTTATGTCTCATGAACCATTCCTGGTTCTAGGAAAACCTATCAAAACTTCATTAAAAATGCTGAATTAAAGACAAAGTAAGTCATACAGTGCAATATAAATAGGGATGAACACAATCAGTGTTCACTTTTTACCTCTTGGCTTACTAGAGGCTGTTCACTAAGCTTGTCATCCAGGTTCTTCTGCAGAAGTTGGAGCTGAGCCCTGGCTTCTGCCAGCTCTTGCTGAAACTGTGATACCTCCTGGGAATGTTTTTCACCCTCTGCCCTGCACAGCAGGATCAACAGACACAGCAGTTACTCAACCTGTCCTTTAAAACAAGTACTTCACTGGGTTAGCCTTATAAGTGCCATGACAGTGCATGGAACTGGTTAGTTATAGCTTTGACTGAAGACTTTGCCAACACATTCACAGCAAGAGTTAAATCACAAGAAGACTTTATGAAACAGATAATTAAATACTGAAAAAAAATTTAAAGATTACTCAAGCACTGGTAATAGTCTAGTTACAAACAACAGATTATGCAGTAAAAAAATCAAAACAAAAACCTGTCAGCAATTTTGCTTGGTTTTAGGAGGAATAGGGTTAACCTTATATCCATTCTCATGTAGGTCTGAAAACTTCTTACAATTTAAGAAAACATCTTCTATACAAGCAAACAAATTGAATTTTAATACATTGTGGAATATATTCAAGAATCAAATTAATCCTCTATGTAGTTTGTCAGGGATGTGAAAGAGATAATAATAGGATATATATGAAATGCTAATCCTTACTAGTAACATGAAATAGTACAAGTCTGTGTCGAAAGTAGAAAAAAAGCAGATGGTGAAACCTAAATACAGTTCACTTCATCATTCAGTGGACTGACTGATAAAGGGACAAAATGCAGTTCAAAAAGCATCTCACGGTCAGGCTCTGAACATTCAACATAACCCACTCCAGAGGGGCAAAGCCGAAAATTCACTAAGGTGTGGCTTTTTTCAGAGGATTTAATTACTGTTCTCTAAGAACCTTGTCCAAGAACTTTACTTACTGCAGTTTGTCCACTTCAGCCTGCAGGGCCTGGACGAGCAGGTCCTTGGCGTGGAGCTCCTTCTGCACCTCGCTGAGCTCCAGCATGGCCGCCCTGTGGTGCCGCCGGTTGTGCGCCGCGTCCGCCTTGGCCGCTGCCTCCTGCAGGGAAAAAAAACAAAGAGGCAGTTTTATTTTGGCTTATCGCTGTAGGTGAGCTAGACTAAAGCAGCACGAAACCAATCAAGAAGGAAACTGGGCAGCTGTTGACATTTTCTGTCTAAAAAACTCGAGTGCTGGTGTCTTTATTAATGCTAATGGCGATTAATGACAACCTGTAATTATAATGGAAGCAGCCTGTCTGCCAGACTGCTGCTTCATTGTGAATTTTTGGATGGTGTATCATCACTTCAAGAGTCTCATGCATTGAGAGTTCCATTCTCATAATGGAACTTTCTGGATAGTCAATGAGTATGACTAACACAGGGCACAAAAGAGAAGACATCCCTGACCTTTCAGCCAGTGGCCATCATGACTGCAAGCAGTAGTCTGTTATAAAGCATAGATTTTGTTTCAAGATGCTTTTGAAATACATTTAAATCACCTTCTAAGCAAATAAATCAAAAGATAAGCCATTACCTGCTTCTGAAGGTCTTTAACTTTTAACTTTTCTTTCTCTAAGGAAGCCTGTAAAGCTTGAATAAGTTGTTGCATTTGCTGATCCTCTTCCTCTTTCCGCTTTAGAACTGCCTGAACCTGTAGCACATCATCACAAAAATCAATGCACATTTCGTGTGGGCTCACTGGAAGAGGAGGCAATACAAACACAAGCCAATGCAGGGATTGCAAAACCAACTTTCTGTCTCCTGCTGTTCACTGATCACTCTTTCCACATGGTACCCTTTAACCTTAAAGCTGCTGTGGTTAAATGGCAGCTCATTGCCTACGTTCCCATTTGCTTATACCCCATGAATACACTACTACTGGCATAAAAATTGTCCATCTCAATGAATCTGTATGTAACACAGTCTGTATGTTCCAACTACCTAAAGTGAGCCACACTTTCACTACTGCAAATATTATAGTGCCATTCTGATAATTTTTTTTTCAAAGGAAACAAAGTCCCATCTCTGATCTCTGGTTTAGCCCCCTCATATTGCTGCTGTTACACAACACACGGGGGACCCAGAGCTGGGGAAAGTGCACCAACATTGTATCATATGAGCTAGTTCCTTTCTTAAGTTGTTAGGTCAGAAAGTCAAATACCTGCAGATTCAGCTGCACCAAGTCTGCCTCTCTCTTTGCCAAAGCTGTTTCGAGGATATTATTGTGCTCCCGCAGAGCAGCGTTGGACTGACTGAGACCTGTAAGTTTGCCACGTTCATGCTCCAGTTCAAGGGCCAACTTCTTATTAATTTCTTCTAAACGTTTTATCTTCTTCCTGAAGCCTCTAGATTCCTGAAGCTACAGTCAAAGAAAAACACAAACCAAACAAACATAACCAAATCACTCCAGTCTACTACATAAAAAAGCTGTGAGTTAAACTCATTAAATGTCTTGCTTTTCCAGAATGGGATTTCTTTTCTCTTTTCTTTTTAAATTTTTTTTAATGAACATTAAATTTAAGTTCCCTTTGACATTTTTTTGTGTTGGAAGACTAAAATGCTTGCTAGAAAGCAGAGTCCAGGAGTACTGTTTAGGTGCAGATCAAGAGTAGTCAATATATATAATTTTTTTGTGTAACTCTACAGTTGAACACCACTACCCTGCCCTCAAAATCACTGGGGATCCATGACTCGAAATAGTTCCAAAAGGTAATGATTCATGCATCCTCACTGTCTCATGACCAGACACAGCTGGTATCTAATACAGGAACTATTTTTCTCTCTCATCCTTTTTCCCTATACGACAATGACTCATGAAACCACAAAGAGCCAGCACAAGGCAGCACAATCTGCAAGTATCCCTGACATGATGTTTCCTATCTAAGATTCTGATTTCCTGCACTGTTGGAATAAAATCAGAGTACTAAAATTTCTCCCTGTCTCCCGGGCACTTTATACTCATCTACCAAGCAAATTCAAGCAATCACCTCATCCTCAAGTTCCAGCACTTTCTCTCTGTACTCTTCAAGCTCCTGGCTGGTGAGTGAAATCACTTCTTGCAACTCCTTTTCCAGCATCAACTTACTGCTGCTCACAGCTCGCAATTCTGCCTTCAGAGCTTGAATCTTTTCCTAAAGACAAAGGGATCACATGTGTGGTTAGTGCCTCACCCATCTACAGGATTTTTGCTTTGGTTAAAAGCCCACTTCCCTAGCAAATATGAAATGAGGTGCTAGTGTTTAATTTAAAAGGTCTTGCTCAGAGCTTTCCACCCCTGCATCCAGCTACTGCTGTTAGTGTATTTGATATCTTGCTCCACTGGTCCAAGGAATTGGAGCTTCCCCCAGCAAATTAATTTTCTTATCACAGCCATAACATATATGAATAAGTTATGGTTACCTTGAAAAACTTTTAACTCAATGAGTTAAATAAGAAAAAAGCAGTAAGACTTAGAATTTTGGAAAATCTTCAGATACTGATCCTTTAAAAAAAAAAACCACACAAAGAAAAAACCCCACCAAATAAACCAAAACCTAAAACCAAATCAACAATAAAAATTAATCAGGAAATCTAGCACAAAGGCTAATGATCCTCTTGAGGTCGGACTACAATTGGCAATCTGAATGATACAAATAAAATATAAAAATCCCCCCACCAACCAAACCAAAGCCTGGCAAATCACCTCTCTCCAATGTAGTTAAATTCTCAGTGCTCAGAACACTGACACCATGTTATGATCTAGCTTTATATTCCAAATGTTTTCATCACTTCAGGGTAAAACAGTATTTCAAGACTTATGTTCAATAACAAGATAGCTCTGTCTCTGCACAGTGTCACGGGACACCTGCACACCTGAGCAATCTGGTCGTGTCCACCATCAGTGATCTGTGCCCTGAGCTTGCTCAGCTCTGCCTCAGCAGATTCCTTGGCAGTGAGGGACTCCTGGAGCCGCCGGCTCAGGATGCCGACGGCGTTCTCGTAGGCTTTGTGCTTGGCTTTCATCTCCTTCTGAGCGCTCGTCAGGTCTGACCCCAGGCGCTTCATCTTCTGCTTCTGCTCAGTAATGGCCCTGCAGTGAAAGGAAAGAAACCACCAGGTGAAAACAGAAGCTGCTTGAAAAACAGCACTGAAAGATAATTTTTTTCACACAGCCCAACAAAAACCAACGTTCACTTCTCTCCCTTTGTCCCAGAGTCACCCCCCTCATCAGAGAAAGCCATCAGGTTGGCAAAACAGTACTTGGAAACTCTTGATAGCATTCTAAGAAAATATGTATGGGTAATTAAGAGGTCTTTGTCAGAGTTATTAAAACATCAACATGAAGAAATATATTACTATCTCTAAAAATAACACTGAATTTAGAGTAAGAATCCAATCTAATCTATGATTCTTGATGGATATGTCAGATACCATAAAAACCCTGTGATCACCAGTGGGAAAAAAAAAGAATGATTCTCATTAATGCCAACATTCTAGCCAGTCAAGGCTAAAATTCAGTGAATGGTAATTAGGATTAGCTCCAATCTGTATGTTGTATGGCAGAGACTGCTGGTTAAAAGCATAAGTGAATCAGAGAAGATGCAACTCCTGTGTAGTGTACAGCCAACATCTTGCCATGAGTCTGACTATGTGAATTTCCCAAAGGAGAGACTAGGGAATAAGAAAAGAGTGATTGCTAGAAAGGTGAATATGAAAAACAAATGCTGTAGTTATTTGTCTGTGCTGAAAGAACACTTACTTTTTTGCTTCTTCTTGCATTTGTTCTACTTGTTGTTTTAATGTCTGATTTGCCTCAGCAAGAGATTCCATTTGTTCCTTATCAAACTGCAAAGACTTAAGAGGAAGGAAAAGAGCACCCATGAGAGTAAGAACAAAAGCCTGTTTGCTATATGTTGGATAATAAAAGAGTAAGCATGAAATTTCAAAATCACTTTAATCTCTAAATATAAATTGTTCCACAGTTCTCCATGTTCTTTCCCTTTCATTTCTTCTTTTAACTCTTCCCTATGAGGGCACCACCATAACATGTATGAACAGAGTTCTAGTCTGGTTTTTGCTCTCAGATGGGAGTTCACTTTGGGACCAAGGAAAGTACTTCCACATCACCCCTCTATCACTCCTGTGGTCAAGCAGTCGTGTATTTACAGAATTTTGGTAGGTAAATGCTCAAATGTCTAGAGAATATTAAGTATGTAACCAAGAACCTTATCTTGTAGGTGATCATTGTGCTTATTTGTAAAGTTAACAGAAGTAACACTCTCCAGTGCAAAGCTTTACACCTCCCATACCTGCAGGCGTGTTTCCAGATCGTCTCGTTCTCTTTGCACTGACTGAAGATGATTCTCTATTTCCACCATCTGCTGGTGAACCTGAGATACTTCCTTCTGTAGCTTCAAATGTTCGGATTCGAGCGACTGTTTTTCAACTTGCATTTTCAGCATCTCTTTTTTTATCTCCTTCAGTTCCGAGTCCAGCCGCTTCTTTGTAGCTTTCAGTTCGCTGATCAGCTGGTCCTTGGAACTGGCGTCTCTCCGATAAGCCTCCACCATGACCTTGGGCACAGGAGTTACAAGAGAACAATGTCACCTCTGTTACAGCCTTACAAATTTATGACAAATTTAGTGGAAAGTATTTAGTGATATTCCTTTAGTTTGGGGGAGGTGTGTCATACAAACCAGCGTTAGACGCTGTAACATATTTACTCTGGTTCAAAGACTTTTGTGTAGGCTCAGATATCAAATAACACTCTGTACTAGGAGTTCATGAAAAAACCCCACCTCTGAGTGTTCATGGCAGTTTGGGATACTCTTCTTCACATTCTTTATGGAACTGCACTAATTAGGTGTCATTTCTAAAAACTAAACTAATTGTCAAAAATTAACCATCCCGTGCACACCACTAATAACTTTTGCCATGAGAAGAACGCTTAACTGTGACTGACAGTTTAAACACCCTTCCCAAACTTAAACCTAACAAGCTAAACCAAATTTTGGCACTAGGTTAATAAGCAATCAAGCAGTAAATTAATGGTGCCACCCCATAAATAAGACACATATATGTGCAACACTAATGACATACAAATTTTAAATGAGTGTTTCAAAACTGTGCAAATTCAAAATAAAATTTTAAATAAAGCACTTAATTTCCATCTAATTACTGAAGCAACTACACCACTTTTCAATGCTGCAAAGAAATGACAACACTTGAAGATTCTCACGAGTGCTTTGGCAAAAGCAAACCTAATCAACAAACTAGAGAGAGATTTTCTATGGTGGATCATTTGGCAAACTCCCAGAAGTTCTATCAAAACATGAACTGGTTGGTGGATCAGCTTTTACTTTAGTTACAGATAGAAGTTCAACTGTAAATTATACAGTTTCTTTATTTCAATGTCACATAGTTCTGTGATAAAGAATAGATTCAAATATTCTCACACTCCCCCAGAAGTACATGCCTTCACTGTAAAAAGAAGTATATTCCTTGGTTTTATGTCTGTGAAATTTCTTTGCTTTTGCTTACCTTCTGCTGCAGGAACTGTTCCTTCACTTTTTGAACCTGTTTTTTGAGATTGGCATTTTCTTGTTGCAGATTTTCCACCTGCCAAAGGGGAAAAAAAAGCAAACATTGCTTTACATGCCAAATGTCATATTCTGTGTGACTTCTTCAGTGACAGCATGTGTGCCTTGTACCAACTGCCCAATCTAACAAGGATCCTGTTTCTGACTAAGTGTCTCAGTGGTTGATAACACAACATTTTATACAGAAATACATTCACACAGGTAGTGAGCCTTGTTAACCCTCAGGGATGCACAAAGTCCCCTTATCCATTGCAGTTTTAGTACATGTCATTAGTGTACAGATGTATCTGGATGGCATCTGTTCACATATTCATAATCAAATGAAGAAACCAGCTGGTTCTTTGAAGGAAAAAAAAACATGTTAAATATACTGTTATTGTTTTTCAATAATTCCATTGGTAATACTATCAAGTCCCATTATTATCTTCAAAAGAAATCTCTAAAGATTACCAGGAACTCATCACTACCAGTATTCAATAAGAAAGCTCTTCCTATGAAACTTTGATGCTCTGAAAGACACAGAGCATACACAACTACAAAACTAGAGTGGGAACAGAAGACTCCCCATAATTTAAAGCAGATAGAAAAAAAATACAGATATGCTTTAGGCTTGTCCTTGTTCAATGACTAGAAAAAAGCCTTGGTTGGCTTTGAGAAAACAAGCCCTGGTGAAAAGGCATAATTAAATGTGACCAAATTACTGCATAGGAAGGATGTTTGGCTTACAGTGCCACAGAAGAAGAGAACAATAAAAAATTACTTCCTGAACTGTCACCTGTACCCAAAATTTTTGTGTTTTAAAACTGATAGATTTCAGAAAGATGGTGGCTCTTGAAAACAGACAAAACAAGACTGATTAACCTCAGCTTCCCATCCCGTGCTACCCAAATGCACAAGCACATACAGGTACCACAGGATATTAAACCCTAAGGTCACCAATGATGTAACAGGATGCAAAGTGTCACTCTACAAAGAAAATGATGGCACTGATTAAAATATTCCCCTTAGCTGAATCCCACAAGTACACAGGGACACAAACTCACACGTACCAATCTCCTCTCATGGCTCTACCATGTGTCTGTGGCAATCCTTCCCTGCAACAGCTACTTTAAATAAGGTACCTTTAGGGATGCACTACCTGGCTTGTCTTGACTGCCATTTCTTGTTTCAGTTGTTCCAGGATCTGCGACGTGGCTTCTGTGTCTTCTCCAAGGCGCGCAGTTCCTTCGTCCAGCTGCTCTTTACTGGCCTTTGCTGCCTGCAGAGCTACTTCCAAGACAATCTTCTCGTTCTGCAAATACTGGATGGTGTCATCTTTAGAAGTAGCATCACTTTGGAACTCTTCTAATCTGGCCTTCAGTTCGTCATACTGTGTTTGCAGGTCATCCAGGGACTGCTCTTTGGTGTGCAGTGTCTCTTGGGCGAGGGTCAGTTGCTTCATCAGTTCCAGGTGCTCTTGCTGTAAAGATTCAAGCTGCAGATCCCGCTGATGCAAAGTCAACTTGACCTGAGAAGAAGTATTTTAAGATTAAATTAATACAAAGCCAAGGTTATCTTTGCAAATGCGCTCCAATCAAAGTCAAGTATTTTAACCAATATTTTAGCTTCTAGGAGAAAATAGCAGGAGGTGAAAATATTTTTTAACTTTCCTAGGGCACTTCTATTTTCTCTATTAATTGCATTGATTGCCTTCTGCAGCATGTTATCTTCAAAATATTCACTGTATTCAAAATTTTTAGTTGCAAGACATGTCCACAGTAGATATTCAGGTAAATTCAGCATTATTAATGATCATTACATGGAATGTTGTACTGAGCTGTCATGTCTTTCATCTCATTCCAGCCCTTGACATGCTGTCTACATTACAAGGTTGAAGCAGGACTCTATAGTGAAGTGCAGATTTATCATGCTCTAAATGTAAATGTATATAATGATATCCTGACTGCCTAACAACTTTGAACATGGATCTATAGTTCTTGTCCATACTTACAATAATCACACACTGAATTCACTAAAAAACCCCAGCACCTGCAAGACAGTAGTTCTGAAATTTATAAAAGGTACTGTTACTGAGATGGTTGAAAGAAAAAAAAAAGGCTTTTCACCTGAAACGGAGTGACTTTGATGTGGAATTCATTTTTGCAGCGATCTTTCAGGTTTTAAAAAGGAGTTCAGAGCTCAGCATCTATTTACTATTGCTTTTTCAGCCAAACAAATATTTCCTTTGAAACCCTTGGGAAGTTGATTAACAACAGTCTACCTGTCCCAGCTCTTGTTCCAATGTTGCTGCAGAATCAGCCATTTTCTGAAGCTGTTCTTTCTCATCCTCAAACTCCTCTAGTTTTCTCTGCAAGTCTTCTTCCACCATGGTTTTAGCCTCCTGGATCTGCATGAAGGCAGCTTCTTGATCTAACATGTCAGCCTGCACAGAAAAAGCAAGGAATCAACTTCTACAGTTTCAATGGAGGGGGAAGAGTGGGAAAAAAAGAAAAAAATAGGAAAAGAAAAAAATAAATTATCAAGAAAATTTGTAGAGGAAAGACAAGCACAGATAATTCTGATGTCTGCCTTACACACCTGTATCCTCTTACTGAAGTCACCCACTCATATTCTTAAGACACCTCACAATAACAGTGAATGTCTTGCATATTTGTGACAATCTGAATTCCTATTAAATAACGCCATGTCCTTTCTCAATTGATGAAACAAGACAAAGAAAAGGAATCTTTATTAAAATTAAGCTGTTTGGAAAAATTCTAAAGCAGAAGGGATTCCTGGGATGCTGCAGCTACTCAGTGCAGCGACTGAGAGGACACAAACTCCTGTCATTTACACCATGTATCAGGAACGCTGGCCATGGGGTGCTCCCACTAACCTGCTGCTTTACTGCCCTTTGAGACTCAGGAGCAGCAATGTCACTGAAAATCAGTGGAATGTAAGGTTCTAAGAGCTCTGAAAGTGATTTTACCCAACTTTTCTTACTGGAGGGCAAGAAGGACAAACCTGATTACTGAGCCATTTCACACACTAAAAAGCACATTACTGATTTAGATTAACTTCCAGTTAAGCTTTCTCTTGAAAAAGTTCATGAATGGGCAAATGACAACATTTACATCTGAAAATGCAAGTATCACCACTGAATGGGTAATATATGGCCTTGCTCCCTCTTATTATTCATAATGCCATGCAAATTTATTTGTTCTGAAATATCTTCTGGTTTTATAATGCAGCATCTGAACCTGTTCATAAGAATTCTATGTTACTTTGTTGGAATAGCCTCGAGTTTGCAAAACATAAATACACAGCCTAGACAGAACATAACTCAGGAAAACCACCCACGACCATACCTCAATATTTTGCAGCTGTGCTGCAATGCGCTCCTTCTCTTTAATGGATCTGTGCTGGGTTTCAGTCAGCTGCTGAGACAGTGCCACATTCTCTAGTTTGAGATGTTCCAACATACCTGCCTGAGTCATTTGCCCAGCCTAAAGGAAGGAGAAAAAAAAAGTCACAGATTAACACCAACGGTCAAAATTTGGCCAACGAATTTAAGAGTTTCAGAAAAAAAAAAAAAAATCACACTGAATCCATGTGTGCCTTATTTCAGGCACTTCTCATCCACAAAGGTAAGTGCTTTGGTTAAATCTATGCCTCATCATTAATGTGAACTAACACCTCAGGATGAAGAACAAAACATGACCTGGCCCCTTCTCTTGCCACCTGAAGAACACACAGGTTGATCCCCCAGCCTGTGCTGGCCCCAGGGTTGCCCCAAGCCAGGTGCAGCACCTTGCCCTTGGCTTCCTCGAACCTCAGGAGGTTCCCATGGGCCCACTTCTCAAGCTCGTCCAGGTCCCCCTGGACGGCATCTTGTCCTTCAGGTGTCAGCAGCACCACTCAGCTTGGGGTCACCTGCAAACTTGGAGGGTGCACTTGATCCCCTCCCTGGTCCCACTGCAGACCCCTGAGGGGCACCAATGTCCATTGGGACACTGAGCTGTTGATCACCACCCTCTGGATGTGACTGTCCAGCCAACTCCTTATCCACCAATATCGAATCCTTCTCTCTCTAACGCAGAGAGAAGGATGCTGTGGGGGACCATGTCAAAGGCTTTACAGAAGTCTAGTTAGATGACACCCATAGCCCTCCCCTTGCCCTGGTGCAGTCAGTCCATTGCAGAAGGCCACCAGGTTGTCCTCTGGATAAAAACACAGAAAAGAACAGATTGCCAGTTCTCCAGGTGCAAGTGAATCATAATACCTGTATATTGGCCATCTCACTCTGCAGCCTGACCCGGGCCTCCTGTGCCAGAACGAGCTGCTGCTGGTACCAGTGCCGCACGTTTTGGAGGGATGTGATTTCTGTCTCAGATGCCTTCAGCTTGTTGGTCAGTGTGGTCCGTTCCAGCTGCACCTTCTGAAGCTGGTTCTGTAAGGAAGCCAACTGCTGTCGCAGATCATGGACTGGAGAAACAAAAAGAGAGAACTTGGACTAGAGCATCCACTGCTCTATTTTCCTGCACAAATTTCCAAGGATTATTGCCGTGTTCACAGCTTCTTTTTTTTCTTTTCTTTTTGAACAAAAGCATATCTGCCTAATTACATGAAGACTGGCTTTTCCTGCAAAAGTGTTAGAATCTGAAGTATCAGGTCATAAGCAGAAATAAAATTAAACTAAATGAATCACTTCTGTAAGCATTCATTGTTCCTTAGAGGCAGAAAATATGAACTAATTAAACACCAGGAAGTAGGTGTCCTGTAGAGTCATCCTTACAAATCACTATGTGTACAATTTTCTAAGAAAACAATTAGGGCACTGTCAAACAGTGACTGGACTAAATATTTATGCCTCCAAGCTGGCAATGGCAGTTTGCAAACTGTGGCACATCTGTGATACAAAATAAAAAAACAATCATCTTAAAATTCATACCATTTTAGTAGTATGACATCAATTAAACATGACTTAAAATTTCTTCCTCTCCCTGGACTTCAGAATTATGTTGAAAGAAAATGATTTATGGAACAACAAATTTTAAAGATTGACATTTACATCATCCCACCTGTGCTGTCTCTGGTGAGAACATTTTTTTGCATATCTTCAACCTTCTGCAGGAGTCTTTGGTACTGCTCCTCTGCTAACTGCAAATCATTATTTGAAGAAGCCAAACTGGCATTCTTTGCTTCCAAGGCATTTTGCAGGTCAGCCATTGCTCGTTCCAGATCCCAGCAAGACTGCTTTAATGTGGCCACTTCTGAGCTCAGAGATTCCTGCTTCTGCTGGCTGGTTTGGCTGTGTTCCATCTGCGCCTGAAGCTTCATGTTCAAAGCTGCAAGTTGGGCTTGTAGCTCAGTCTTCTCTTTGAGAGCCTGAATGTGTCCAGAAAATCAAAAAAGAGAAGTCATAAGAGAAAATACACTAATGGCTGACTAAAAAAGATGCTAAGGCAAAGAATACTTGCTTGTAAGAAATTCTTTTTTTAAAGTGACATCTCACCTATCAGATATTTCAAATACCTGAAAAGTCAAAATACGGAGGAAAGCACAGACAAGACATACAGCATTGTATGACAGTAATCACATCAGGATTTTTAATAATACACATATGTCTACACTTTAAGGAAGAATGCTTTCTAATATGTGTTATACCATCAATTAAAAAAAACCAGAAAATACAGTTACATAGACATTGCCAGCATTGCTCTGGATTTATTGTCTCTTTCAATTTGACTTTTTAAAAAAACATACAAAACCACCACTTTTTTTTTTTTAAAGTAACCTTTGAAGGCTTTACAATGTTATATTTACCCTCTTCAGCATCTGCATTGGGTTTGCATGGCAAGGTTTTGGCAGTGGGGTTCTACAGGGGTGGTCTCTGTGAGAAGCTGCCCCATGTCCAACAAAGCCAATGCCAGCTGGCTCCAAAATGGACCTGCCACTGGCCAAAGCTGAGCCCATCAGTGACAGTGGTAGTGCCTCTGGTATAAAGGATTTAAGAAAGTGAGAAAAAAAAATTGCAGAAGAACAATAGCAAAGATAAGAGTGAAAATATGTGAGAGAAACAGCCCTGCAGACACCAAGGTCAGTGCACAGAGGAGGAGGAGGTGCTCTGGGCGTTCATGGAAGACTGACTCCCATGGGAGGAACCCCACGCTGGAGCAGAGGAAGAGTTTAAGGAATCCTTTCCATGAGAAGAAAGGAGCAACAGAGACAAATTGTGATGAACTGACAGCAACTCCCATTCCCCGTTTCCCTGCACTGCTGAGGGGGAAGGAAGGAGAGAATTCAGGAGCAAAGTTGAGGCTGGGGAAAAAGAGGGGTGGGGGGAAAGGTGTTTTTAAGATTAGTTTTTCTTTCTCATTACCCTACTCTGATTTGATCAGTAATAAATTAAACTCATTTCCCCAAGTCGAGTCTCTCTTGCCTGTGATGGCAACTGGTGAGTGATCTCTGTCCTCATCTCAAATCAGAAGCCTTTCACTGTATTTCTTCTCTCCCCTGTCCAGCTGAGGAGGGGACTGACAGAGCAGCTCTGGTGGACACCTGGCATCCAGCCAGGGTCAGCCCACCACAGCATCCTTGTGAAGTGCCTTATTGAACAATGGTTTTACAAAACACAATTCCATGAGTAATGAGAAGGAGGCTCTTGAAAATTAATTTGAACTATTAATGTGATTTGCTAAACACAGAATTTCAAATTCATTTTCTACCTGATTAGCTTCTAGTGAGAGTGCCTCTAGTTGCCCTTCAAGTCTCATCTTCTCCTTCAGGACCTGCAGCATTTCATCATGAGTTCCTGCGACAGAGCTTTCCATAGAAACACTGGAGACAGAGACAGCACATACACAGTGACAGGGTTAGAATACAACACTCATCTGGTTGAAGAAAAGTTTAACTGAAATTAAGAGGGACTAAGACTATCTGTGTGACCTAGACTGTAGGACATTTTTTCTGGCTTTATACAGAGACCACAGTGTAACAACCTTAGTTACAAAGAGATAAAAAAATTATACTCATGCTAAGGTTTTATACTTTAGTCTTGTGTACTTGCAGCAACTAGAATCTAGTGTATTTGTTTTTTAGCAGTGCAATGGTTGACTTCATTAAATTCTGTATCTGCATATCCCATTTTAAGCAGACAAGTGGACATACTGGGAGCACAAAACCTCCACAATTATTGTCCACAACTGTCTGCTTCAATGTGCCCAAAAAATACCAACAGCTACTGCAAAAGAAGGAAGAACAGGTATTTGGTGTAATGCCTAACAAAGGCCTCCCTGGGATCACTCTTACCTGCTAGAAATACTGTCTCTCCTGCTCCGTACTTCCCCGTTAACTTCTTGCTCTTGGGCTTGATGCTCCACTGCCGCAGCCTGCAGCACCTCCCTGATGGAAGGGAACTGCCCCATGGCTTCAGGGTGTATCTTCTGGCCATTTATTGTATATGGAGCATCCTGTTTGCTTTCTGAGCTCTGTAAACTGCTGTACAGCCCTTTCCCTGACACGCTGCTGTAGGTAGAGCTGTCACTCTCATTTCCATCCAGCCTCATTGCCACTTCACTCCCGTCAATCTCTGAAATGCTGTCTCCTGCCAAGGAGGAACTCTCTATTCGATCATCCACGTCAGAGGGCAGACTAATCTCAGAAACAACTGATGTTGGACCACTTCTGCTTTGCTTCAGAGTCCCACCAGATAAATCAGTAAAATTCCCAGCAGTGTTTCTGGTGTCTGAATCTTCAGTTCTGTAGTCAGCCAAGGACCGGATCTTACTGGACTTAGATTTTGAACTTTTCCTCTCTTTTGAGGACGCTGGAAGTCCCAAGCTACCCAGTTTTGGCCCCCTGGGGACACTGGTCCGCAAAAAGGAGTATTCTTTTGTCATTGCTACAGTGCTGGCTCTCGGCAGGATCTCTGGGTTTAACATCAGCTCAGGATCCAGGGTGCTGGAGGGCCGGTTTTTGGATGTGGACTGACTTGACTAAAAGAAGCAAAGAGTCAACAATAAATTCCAGAATGTTAACTTTGAAGTAGCATCAAAGCCTTATTTTGCTCTCACTTAAGATGTAAAGCTCTTACATTTCTACACTGATATTAGATATACAGGTCCTTTTGTAAACAAGGTAAATTACACCAGCAATCAACCCCATCAAGATTCTGTATATCATGTTGAAAATGTCCAAGGTACACTCCAAAAGCTAACTGAAAAATACAGGCAAAATGGAACATTTAGGTCACTTAAGTTTTATGTTTGTTTTTGTCTCCCCTATTTTAAGTAGCACAAAATGGTATGTTACTGATGAGGTAAGAGAACCAAATTTTGCCTGTCAAGAAGAAAAAAAAACCTGCTTTCTCTCATTTGAGGAAACTACTGAATGGTTTCATTCAAAGCATAGAAAGGGTAAAGTTTTCAAGCTTCTCCACAAAACACTGAATCTAGAAGATCTGTTGTGTGGTACTCACTCTTTCTTGATGTCTCTTCACTCTGTATTGTTTGAGCTGTTCCTCTAGACGCCTTCTTGCCTGAAGTCTGATTTGTTCTTCTTTCTCCAATGGCAGTGAAGACTCTACTGAGCCTGCAAGTGAAAGGTTTTCTTTACAGTCAAATAGAAAATGCCAACACAGGCATGTGTGATGCAAAAGGTAAAAGCCCCTTCTACCATCAGCAACATGCATCATGCTTAAGCAAGGAAAGAAAGGAAAGCCCATCGACATGCACCTCAAACTACCCCCTTCAAATACAGACTTGTGTAAGCACTGATAAAGCTTGTGGATTTCCACTGCTTAGTTTGCAAATGCTGTAGTTTCCCCACACATGTATGACAAGAAATTATACAGCAAGAAAAAAAATATTGCTGTCATTTAATCTCACCTGTCCTGCATTTCTGACAGTACTAAAATTATAAATCTAAGCAAGACCTATGCAGTCCACTCATTCCCTACAAGTCAGGGAAGGATGTTCCCTAAATACATTTGCTTACCTTTGGTTAACTCACACTAAATCTTTCCCATAGTAAGGCTTTTTAAAAACACTATTTCAGGAAACGCCCACAGCATTACACACCTTATTATAAAGGCTTCCCCTTCATTGCTCTTCCCTCTTTATTACTTAGCTTAAAATCCCCTGGTTCTGCTGTTCTGGTTTTTTTTGTTTTGTTTTTTTTTTAATGTCACCTGTTACTCCTAATAATCAGAAAGATTAGAAAAGCTTCAGCCCCAGAAAGCATGAGTTCCCCTCAGCATAAGAGCCATCTTCAAATGGTAAGGCACATGCCTTAGCTGCAGCAGAGGGTGGTTTACTGAAAGAAAATGAATTGTAGTTCTAAGTAAAAGCTTACTGCAAAAATGAAGTTTAGTTCAAGCTTAAATGATGTTAGAGGAGTCCAGAGCCAGGCTCAGAGTAAACAGCTTTATGGAGCAAGAGAAAGCAGGGGCACCACCATAAACAGATGCTTACACAATTCAGTTTCTTGCATGGGAAGACTTAGTTTGAGAGACTGCAAAGCTTCTTTTCTAAGAACTATGCCCTCAGCACTAGTTCCCTGAGACTTCCTTAGGCTGTCATGGAAACCAGTCACACCTGGGCATGACTCTTCACCCTGCTCACAGTTGGTGGGGTCAAAAGACACAGGAGAGTCAGGGAAGAGCGACTCTGGCCCGTTCTGGCAGGTGTCCACTGTGCTGTTCATCTCCAGACCTCCCTCCTCATTTGGCACTTCGTTGATGTTATTACTGGTAGCTGGAAAAGAAAGTTTTATTGAGCCACCCCTTAAGCCACCCCATTTATCTCCACACCTCCACCCAAATACAATGCTACTGCTATTGCCTTTAAATGGTAAGAACATGGAAATCACTACTGTCAGCAACTGGCAGGAGAAATTTTATAAAGGACTTTTAGTTCTCTATTTAGAAAGACCAGAACAAGTACCTTTCACTGCTTTACCATGCTGCCTTCAATCTGGACCTCAAAAGTGATCATATAAAAATATCTTCAAAACTTCACACAGGTTTTTAAATCTTATTAGGTTTAGAAGCATGAAACACCGAGTGCAAGTAACTCTGAGGGGCAACCTACTACAAACCAGACTCACAACTGCAGGCCTGTGCTGAATGATTCAGCTGTTTGATATTCTGCTGGGCACTGGGGAGAAAACATCCACCATCCTGACTTCCAGCCTGAGCCAAGCAGTTTTTCAATTTTAAACTGAGTTTACATTTTTCAAATGGGATGTCTTCATCAAAAATACAACAGCAAAGCTCGCATGGATCAAAATAATAGATCTACCAATTAAAATCTACAATTAAAATTAAAATCTACCAAGTAAAATGCAACTCAAAAACCACTTTAATGCCAATTTTATCCCCACTTACTAATATTAGATTTTTCTTTTCCATCAGGAAAAAATGCATACTCAAAACCAGTTAAACATTTCACAGGTTTATACTTTGGATTTCTCACACATTTCTACTTTGCTTGGCTGGTGACTACTTACATTTATGAACCTGCTGTTGCAAAAAACCTGTGTATCTAAACTAATTACTACAGATCTCAAATGAGCAGAGTACTGAAATAGCCACTGCCTTTCTGTTCATTCCCACACTATGTATCACTGGAGTAACTGGAACTCACTGGAATAACATGTAAGACTTCATTATTTTTTCTTCAAGATGTTTGAAAATATTTGACATTTATGATCACAAAGTATTTGCAAGTGCAAAAATCAAGTTTTCTCTTCCCATTTTTCATCTCCTCTCAGAGCTACAGACTTGAATAAGCAGTTTGTATTTTTTTAAAGTCTACTCAAGGAAGATATGAGGGGAAAAAGAAAACCCAAACTAGAACTGAGAAACATATCCTCCCAAAACAAAGTGTTTCTATGATGATGTTCTGTAACCAGGAAGTTGATTACAAAGATTCAGTAAAACTTTAATTATTAATTTAGACTAGCCCACTAACCTATTGCTATTAAACTTCTCCCCATATAATGAATCACTGCAAACTTCTGAAAGCAAAATCACTACTAAAAAATAAAGCTATTATCAATCAATGATGTATGTGGAGAACATTAAAGTGCACCCTGAAATTAAATGAGCCATATGGAAAAAAGTACAGGTAGAGGGGGTAGGATCTTTTCATTGTTTTCCCTTTCCTTATTGAAGAAAGCAGAAGTTTCCTTTGAAGTGCAGTCAAATTTCACTGCAGAGTAATTTGAAGAGGAAAAGACAAATTCCCACCCCTGAGCATTTGTTCCCACCTCTGCAGTGCCTCCTCCCTTCAGCAGCACAGCTGTTTGTACAGGGACCCAGCACAGAGGGAACCGAATGAGGAAACCCAATGGGGGTAAAAATAAAAAGCTTTCAGTCTTGGGCTGCCAAAACCCATAAACTCGCTAAGATTTGAATCAAAACACTTTTGAGTATCTGATTTGTCACGCAGACAAACATTTTCAGGCCACTGTAGCCTGAATCAGTTCTCTGATTGAGATTATTGTGTCACAAAAACACTTACAGGCACAATGGAAAGGGAGGGTGCAACGAGTATGTAAAGGAGGACGGAGGACAAGACTGCTTAGCAATGACTGATATTTTCAAACTAAAAGATTGTCAAAACCAAATTTGAAATAGAGGTCAGTGCTAAGAATAGCCACAAGAAACCAAAAATAAGAAGACAGCTCACACATTCAGAAATATCGTTTCTGCCCGTGTCTCAGAAACTGCAGCCAGTGCTGCATCTGGTTTACTCTTTATTTACATTTTTTTCTTCACTACTGTCAGTGGTATACATATACAAAAGAGATGCTGGAGCAAAATTCTGGAGGAATGGTTTCCTGGCGACTTCCTGAGGCCACGAGACACTCAGAATCTAAACACTACTTGAACCAAAGTAATTTAATTGCAGTAGAGTCAATACAGCTGCGGTCTTTTTAGAACAGTGGAGATGCAATTAGAATAAAAGCAGTAGGAAGACACACTACCTATTTGTAAGCCACAATTCAATTGTCCAACACAGGAGAAAGCAGGAACACGTGATCTCCAAGTTCATAAAAGATGAATGAATCATCACATAACTCCACTCTGCCAGTCTGGTAATGGGCAGTGTAAGAAATGTAAATAAACTCTCAGGCCTCCACTCTCTCGACTGGGACTGGATGACAAACCTGTGGAAGGCTGCAACTTCCTCCTGTCACCTCCCTTCACACAAGGAACCCTTTGTGTATCCACACAGCCACAGGGAAAACACCCCCTCCACCCACCACCACCACAGCCTCCTTACCAACACATCCTCACACTCCGGCCAGGGAAACAGGGAGACTCCAACTCACCCCAAGGAAAATGTTTTCACAGTGAAAGCACCTGAACACTGCAATGGGTAGAGAGGCTGTTGAACCTCCCTCTGCAGAGACTTCCAGAATTCAACAGGACAAGGCCCTGAGCAACCTGATCTTGCTCCAGAACCAGGTCTGCCCTGTGCCTGAGGCTGGACTAGACACCCCACAGAGCTCCCCCCCACCTCAAGTTTGATTCTATAACCTACTCAGATCAGTGGTCTCTCAAATTTCTTGTAAACAGCTGCATGATTATTTTATTATAGAGCTCGTCTACATATAAAAGTCATTTTGAGATAATTTGGAGAGTACATGCCAGCATCTCTTCCATAAAGGGAAGTTCAGGGAGACTTTTAAAGTACATTTTGTTTTTTGCCTAAGCAACTTACTTTATTAGGAAAATTTCTTCTGCCAGAATAAATTACTCCAGTCATGAGCTTCCTCTATAACAATCATTTCAGAACTGCTGGTTCTAGATAATTTCAGGTTTACCCTTTTGGAAACACTATCAGAAGACAGAGTAACATCGTGAACAACAAATACTCAACTGACAGCAAACAGTACTTAAGTTAATAGTTGGGTTTTGCTTTAGAAAGAACAAGTTCTACAACAAAAATAATTTTCCTCATATACAGAACCTTCACCAAACTCGCTTAAAACTGCTGTACAAGAAATTCCTGACCTCAAGGAAAAAAAGTCCTTCAGCATCACCTGAACAATAAAATGTGACTGTATAAACACCTGAGTTAGTCTAGGAAATTATTTGGCGCATGTGAAATAACTTACTGTTAATTTCAGCTGTAATAACTGCCTGTGACTTGGCTTTACAATCCAGAAGTCCTTCAGAGCTGCCAGGAGCCCCATTACTGCTCCTGTTCTCCAGGTGAGCATCCTGCTGGACAGATGAGGAGTCCATGGTAAAAACGATCCAGATCCCTGGAAAGTTTTTCTTCTGAATAATTTGCCACCAGGTGAACTACCAAGTCCTGTTTCTCTCCATCAGCAACAACGGCATCAAGGTGTTCCAGGGGAGCACAGTTCTGGGCTGTACAGCTGGTGGTGTGCAGCAGGCAGCTGCTAACCCCAGATCAGGAGAACAGCTCGCAGCCAAAGTCGTAATCACCAAGGACCTGCATCCTCTAGAAACAAAATTTACAAACATTTATTAGAGCTTTGAAGATATGAGATAAAAATAAAGCAGTGCCCACAGACTGCTCTGCAGCTCAGCTTTGACACACGGAACCAGGACGTGGGGTAATAACAGAGCCAATGAAATACACCCAAGAATCCAGCTTTGGGGATAAAAAGTGATCTGTTTAACAGGTTTTTTTAAGGTCGCTTTTTTTTTTAGTAGCATTGATACACTGCATAACAATGCATGAAGATAATATTTAGCAAGACAGCTCATTTAAGAACACTGTCTCTTTTAATGGAAATGCCTCTCTGGCCTCTGCTTTAAGAAGCAAGCCAGTATTCAGAGCAGCATTTTGCTCTGTATATGACAGTCTGGACTTTCATACCATATATTTCATTTTAAGGACCTACTCCCATTTAAGTTCAGCTAGAATGCAGTACAGAATTCAGAGTTTTTTAAAAATTAAATTACATCATTACTGTTTACTTGGCTGCAGAATGAGAAGTATGTATCACTGCACAGAACCTGAACTACTCATTACAGCAGACACTGGCAGTCAGAACGTGGGCTGGGCTGCAGTTCAACACTGCCTTCTCCTATGACCACTCAAGAGGAGGATTTCCAAACACGGTTTATAGAATTTTCTATTTATTTTCCAGGCATGCAGATCTAACCCATGGGTAAAGATCCAGCCAACTAATAAAATCTGACAGAAACTGTTGTACTGTACACAGTCCCTTCAAGCACATAAATTTTGTTCAAGTAGTTACTGACAGATGAATTCATATTACAAAATGTCATGGTTCTTAATTACTAAAGAAATCTAAGAAATCCCTGGTTAAAAAAAAAAAAAAAAAAAAAAAAAAAAAGAGAGGGAGCTGTGGGGAGAATGTCAAGTCAGGAATATTTTGATTGCATTTTTACATGACACAAACACTTTGACCAACATTCCTTACATATTTCCAGAGAGTACTTATGTAACTGCTACTGTGCCACCCTGCCCTGGTCACCCGAAACACCACCACCATCTCCCAAACGTTACTGAAGCCGCAAACAGCTCAGGGCACAGAGGAGAACACGGTGATGTAGGTGAGCTGTGAAGGAGCCAGAAAACTGGAGAGCATTTCCAAAGGAGAAATCTCCACAAACAGAAAAAGATTTAACACCTTCACTGCGATTTGTTATTGATTTTTAAAGACTTTCAGTATAATAAATCTTACAATAAAACTTCTAGAAGGACTGCCGCTGTACAGCAAATAGACACCACATGACAGGTCACCAAGAGGAATTACAGACAAAAGGCACGCAAGATTTTGACTGCTCACACCTCGGGAGAACCCCACCAGCACGAGATGGTTTGTTATCCTTGTCATAAAACACGTTTTAATAACCGAGTAATGGAGAACAGCTTTCACCTGTACATCCCACTCCTGATACCAAAGGCTCTAGTATTTGGGCTTCAGAATTCTTTTGTATTCCTGTGTTGCGCACAGACAGACAGACAGACAGACACAGATGCAGGCACGCCAATCTCACGGGGGGGAGCTGCACGAAACCCACCGATTTTGCTTAAAACCCCCCAAACCAAGAGGGCACCGGGGCTCGGTCACGGCTCAGCGGGCGCCCCGGGAGTGCCCGGCGGGGGCAGCGGGAGGCCCGGGGCCCGCAGCGCCCGGAGCCGGACCGGCGGCTCCCGCTCCCCGCCAGCCCCGACCACCCCCAGGCCTGAGCCGGCCCCGGCCCCCCCAGCCGCCCCCGCCGCCCCCCGCCCCGGCCAGACCCCCGCGGACCTGGGGCCGCCCGCCCGGCGCCGGCTCCTGCCCGAGACGTGGCGCTGCCTCCGCCGGGAAGGGGAGGGAGGGAGGGCGCGGCGGTGCAACGCGGTTCTGCCTCCCCCGCCAGCCGGGCGCTGCCGCCGCCGCGGGCCGGGTGCGCGGCCCCTCCGCCCCGCGGTTCTCCCACCCCGGCGCCCTCGAGGGGCCCGCGGCACTCGGCGGGCACGACAGCGGCTCTGCGCCGAGGGCTCCGGACCAGCGGCAACACCGCCGGGCCCGGGCACGGGCGGCGGCTTTTCCGGACGGACCCTTCCGGCAGCGAGGGAGGGAGGGCCGGAGGGCGGGGCCGCGGCGCTCCCACCCCCTCAGGGCCGGGCCGCCCTCAGCGCGGCCCCTCCGCTCGCCCCGCGGGACCCCGTGCTGGCGCCTCCTCGCGTGAATTAAACTTAAGTGTTGCATAAATTAAACATTGACTCTGCCTGTGGGAGCGGTGCCCCCCTCGCAGCCTTCTGTGCCTGCGTTATTCATGTTCTTGCGTTAGTGTCTGCATTTACTGGGGAGTCCAGTGACATGTCCTGTTAATGTCATGTTTCCAGCATTCCCGATGGCCCTTTTCTCATAAATCAGTCTGTACAGTTTTCAGCATCTTTCTGGCTCTGGGCATCCAAGAAGTCCTGTGGGTACTGGGAGCCCCTCATTTCATAATGAAAACACCTGCTGACATTGCACTGTCACACTAAATACAACTGCCAGGTAAACACACTTAGTCTGCTTTTCCAGGTATTCCTCTTTTATCGGCCTGTCCAAATTATCCTTATTATGAACATGAATCCCTGGAGCTGTTTCTCTAGGAAGATGTGAGGCTGTTCCACAAGTCAGGAGAGTTGATAAACCCAAACCACCAGCGAGTCTACATTGTTTAAACAGCAAACCTGTTAACCGAGTTCCTGGCACATGGATAATGCCAACAACTGGGTGTTTTCCTGTGCACACTGTGCAGCCCTCGAGGTGTGATTTGGAAGAGAACGTTGCTCTACAAACTAATTCAGGAAGAGGACTATTTTCAAGTGCAAATGCATGGATGTCAGAGAGGCTCCCAGCCTGATGATCAGAGGCAGGGACTAAATGAGCTTGATCAAGGAGGACTCCATAGGGTGCACCTCAGTGCAATCTATTCTTAGAGATATACTGAATGAAATCCTTTGCTGTTCACAAATTCACAAACATAATAAGGGATCTGAACAAGTATCCAGAGAAGGTACATCTGGATTCAGGGAGCAGCAGCCTCCTGCTGTTCCGCTGCCTGAGCCAGATGCCTGTGTGAGTGGGCAGTCCCAGGCTGTGGCTCACCAATGTGAACTGAAGTTTGACCTTCTTGGCTGGATGCACATGCTCAGCACTGAGCTTGTAAACCATATGTGGGACTTGAATGGGTGAGGGAGAGCTGAGTGAAAGGGATGTTAACAGAGCGAGCCTCTGCTGAGATTTGAGAGGAAACCCTGGGAATGTTATGTGTGTGTGTGTTTCAAATTCTTTAATAGTGACCTTCACTGGATACTCTTCCACAGAAGATGTCAAGAGCATGAGGAAAATTTGAATGCATAATCTTCATTTGATCTGGGTTTGATTTTCTTTTAAGAATGTAAAAAGCTGAAACCATGCCTCTCGCAGAGAACTCAATAACTGTTGAGTCACTAAAGTAGCTGTTCTGTTCAGTTGGAAGTATTTGTCTATATTTGCTTCTTGACTTTGATCCCATCTCTCTAGAACAATGCAATGCTCGGGAAAAGCTCCAAAGTATCTCTTTTTAGTTTATTAGTCTGCTACATGGCATCAAAGCCCCAGCTACAGGAATAACCCCTTGTTTGGAGACTGTCGCCCAAGCTTGGCACAAAGCTGCAGCAGGCTGCCTGAAAGAGAGAATCCTTCATACTGCAAGAGATCTATCATCAGCAATGTAAATTTTAGCACAACAGAGGAATGTCGTGGTAATTTTTCAAAAAGCCATAAAAAAATGTCAAACAGTATTACAAATTAGGCCTTAAAGTGAAGGGATTGCTGTAAATTTGCAGGAGACTCGTTTGTGTAAACTGCAGTCTCTGTCTCCAGCAGACAAAGAGCCCATGGCTTATCCCAAAGTCTGAGTTCTTCTTGCAGAGCTCTCTTTTGTTCTTCAAATAGAAAGATCAGAAGGTACCACAAGTCCTTTAACCACAGCCAGCTGCAGCATTCTCTCACCCTGCAACCAGACTGCATACAGGAGCCCTCGTACTGCCTTCTCTCCAAGCGAGCTCACTCAGACCTTAATAGGAACTGTCTTTTTCAGGAACCCACAGGGCCTTGCCCCTAAAAGGGGAAGGGAAATTTATTCCTCTTGGCTCTGAGCGAAAAAAAGAGAAGGCATAGAATGCCAAATTAAAGAGCTGACCTAACAAAATTACCAGGGAATGACAGACCATTTGCAGAGTTGCCTATCCAGATGGGTAATTTTGTAACTCACTGCCTGTGTGAGAATTGCACTAGTGAAAGAGGAAGAGTCAGGTAAGAGGGAAAGGCTCCATTCTCTGCAGGAGCAGAGGGTGGCACTCTCTGCACAGCACAAAGCCTGTGCGTGGTGCTTTCCAGTTACAGCTTTTATAGCTACAAAGGCATTTTTCTAAATATTTCCGTAGGGATGTTCTTGTTCTCTAACCACTGACAACACCATGTTCCAATTGCCTGTGCTTATTGCATGTTTTTCTGCTTGCATATTTCTATTATTTGGTGTCACTCAGTCTGCAAAAACTTCATTAAAAAAGAAACCCATGCTAACTACATATAAATAGCTCTATTACTGGCAGACTGCAATCAGGCTCAGGCATCCAGCTCGCCTCTCACAGCCACTGAGGAAAAAAAATAATTTTGTATTAAATACAGATTATGGAACTAGAATTCAGGTCTTCAGAAATGGGCTTTGTTAAAGACTGCCTTAATATTTTATTTGCCTATAAATTTTATTTATATGTGTGAAACATTTTTACAGCATTCTACCTAAGCAATTTTTAGCATGTCTGTTCTAGCATGGATAAGTATTTAAAGTGTTACTTTCCTGACTCATTTCTATAAACAGAGGAGACAGATGCAACTGTGGTGTATCTGATATAACAACATAGCTCAGAATGGATTTAAGCAGCTTCTACTCTACATAAGAGAAGGCTGGGAAAGCATAAAAAGCCACATTGTGTAACCATAAGGTCTGCAGATGAGAGCTCTTGCGTACAGAGAGTAAACTAAGATTTAAGGCCTTGTAACTGAAAGTATCTTGCCAATGCCCTCCTCCTGTTTAAATCTGGATTCAGTTTGGTCACACCAGCTGTTTTGAAAAACAGAAACTGCTAAGAGCTGCATTCATTTCTGTGGGACATTCCACAAGAGTCTCCATGGGCAAGGAGGGTTACTTTTGGTATCAGGATGCCTTACATATCAGGGAAATTAATTCAGAAAGTTCTCTTCCCATCTATCTGTGTGCTTGTATCTTCCCGTGTATCTGTGTATGTGTGTGTGTGTGGTAGAGAGAGAGTTGATGGAAATTACTGAGTTTTAGTGGTTTCAGGCTTAGCTTTCCCACAATAAATGATTTTTACTGCCACTCTGGAAGCAGTAGGTTTCTGAATCTTTTTTTTTTTCCTGGAATTCCTCTCCCAGCCTGGGGCTACTTACTGGTTAAGAAAGTGCTGCCATTATACACACAAGTCCTATCCACTAACTTCATAAATGTCACTATTTCACTGATATTTGGTGCTTGCTTGAGCATTTCAAGAGCTCTCAAAATGGCATAGTATAGTAGGTAACACTGGCCAGTCCTTGGAGTGACTTGCTACAAGAACATGGAAACCTTGAATTTTTCAACAGGGAGCCCAACACAGAGAATGGGATATTTACTTTCTTCAAGATGTCTCGATGGCTGTGGAAGAGTCTTGGCCTTGTCTGTTCAGGGATGTGCACAGTTGTTGCACCTGCATCTCCTCTTCCTGACATGTGGTGGGAATAGAGTACAACTCTGATTTGGGCTGTGTGGCAACTCTGTGAGAGGTGGAGCTGTAGAGGGTGTAAGACAGGGAATAAAGATTAGGCAGGAAGCAAAGTTCCTTTTACCCTTCTGTCCTTTCTCAATCCTTCCAGTAATTCTATCACTGGTCTGCCTCCAGCTGCCTGGCATGGCTGTCTGATGGGCAGCACTGGGGGAAGACAAGCTCACAGGCAAGATGTTCCCTGGGAGAGGCATGAGAAGCCCTGGTTGCAGGCACCACTCACAAGCCTGGCTTTATACCATTACCTTCAGTGGGTAGTTGGACACTTTTTGGACCTAGAATTGCACGCTGCTTGGTGTGGGAAGTTGTTCTAGCCCATACAGGGTCCTGCTGCCTGCTCACAGAGGGAGATCATATGCATAAAACATAATCCTTGCTAAAAATATGGTTTGAAAGGATCGCCAACCTGAGCTGAAAATACTTATGAGCAGACTACTGTATGTCTGATCCTTAATTCTAGATGCTAAGTCATTGCTAATCCATAGTGATGAAGTGTGGTGTGGACAGGTCCTGCCAGCAAAGGGATGCTGGGATAAGGGATCAAAGACATACTGACAGAATTTGCTGGGCCAAGAACAGAGCAAACACAAACATGAGAAGTGGGCATACATTTGCATCTGTACCTCATGCTCAAGGTTACAGCTTGGAATGGCAGCAGAGCCCACAGAGCAGCCTCTTTGCCTCCAAAGCATTACGGGTGCCTGCACTCAGATGACCCCTGGAAAGGAATCCAAATGACAGGGGTGTAAGATCCTTAAAAAGAGAGTTGCATTGCTAGACTTGGACTGGTTCTCTCTCATTCAGATATTCTTATATTATTATTCCAGTGCTGTCCAAGCAAAGATAAAAAACCACTTTTTGAATACCCTTTTCTGCCAGCTAGTCCTTGACTTATGTCCTCAACAACTGTGCATCAACATAAGGAAACAGCAGATGGAATCTGATCGTTTACTTCTGTCACACTGAGCCTCATGTAGAAAAAAGTAGATTTCTTGTTTCAGGGATTTTTCAAAGCTTA